GGGTCCCATTCAGCCTCACATCCACCTGTGTCCCCAGCGCTCATGCAGTTTTTCTCCTGTTTATTGTCACTTGCAGCACGAGGAGCCACATTCCCGATGTGACACATCACTGAGCCAGCAGTGGTGACTTTCAGCTATCCTTCAGATGATTAATAACTAAGGCAATGTACTTTTTCTCATACTATTCCCCCCCCCCTCCAGATTGGTTGTCTGGTAAAATGTAATTTCCATCAAATGGCTTAAAACAATGAGCTAACCAATGAAATCAGGGAGATCTCTCACACTAGGGGTGTTTATGTATATGGAGACATAATTTAAACCCAACTATCAAATACGTTTCACCAAGAAAATATCGATTCCCATTCCAGAAGTCAAAACACGCGACTGGGGAGAGGAGGAAGGCTGGATTTGAGCTTTGCTTCACGAGCATGAGCTGAACCCTCAGCCAGCACCAAAGGCACACACACGAGTGTCTGTGTGAGAGAGAGGGGCTGCGGCAGCCCCTCCAGTGGAAACAGCACCAGGGAGGGCTCAAACCACATCAAACACCAGCAGAAGAAGCCGTGGAGGAAACCAGCACACACAAACGTGGGGGTTTTTTTCCATTGCAAGGCTCACTGGGTGCCCTGTACAGGTAATTTCCCCGTTCTGAGCAGCCCCAGCACAGCCAGAGAGAGCAATAAACCCAGAAATGGAGGTGGGAGGTTTGTTCCTATCGAGCTTTGCCTCCCAGCTGATGGCATTGGTGCTGTCCCTGGCCCCCTCATGGATGAACTGGAGGCTGCCAAGTTGCCCTGGCTGCTCCTGCAGAGACAGGAGGGAATTGTGGCTCCTGCTGGAGGCAGAAAGTGCAAGGGGTTATTGGGTTATTGGGTTGTTGGTAAACCTTTCTTTGAGATCCAGCATCACAGACTACCTCAAGCTGGAAGGGACCCACAAGGATTATCCCTCCCTACCCCTGAGCTATAATTACTTTTTTTTTTTTTTCCCCCCTTCCCAGGTGGAAAAGAGGGGGGCAAATAAAGATTTCGTTCTGACCTAAGCATCCTGCTCTCTCCTTTCTCCGGCGACGATGTAGGACTCGTTCAATCACCTGAGCAACCCCTGCTCATCTGTATGGCACCAGAATGAAAGTCTGCAGAAGGAGTCTCACAGTTAGGCACTCCACAGGAAGATTAAACATTCTACAGAAGGAGGAAGGACTCCTCAGAAAAGGCTTCAAAGCTGCTTCGGTCACGTATTTGTTGAAAAAGACTAAACAAAAGCCTCTCTCTCCCATGATATCTTGCCCAAAAAATCTTCCCAGCTACACGGCAATAAGTATAGATAACTGGAATTAAAATAAGGGAGTAGCACTTACTGGCTTAATTTCCTGAGCAGCCCTTTGTTAAGGGCTGTGTGAGACCTGCCAGTTGGATTAATCAATGGTTTTTTTTGGGGATCAACGGAATGGGCAGAAATGCAAAGTAATTGTACATATTAGTGTGTCAATAAAAGTGTGATCCTGCGATGTGACATTGTTTGAGCCAGCCACACAAGCAGCGTTTCACTGCAGATATCCTTAACATTAATCCAGACTCTAACTAGCTGCAGCAAGAGAGAGGGGGAAAAAAAAATAAAACCAACCACCCAGTTTGGAGCTATCCTATATCTCAGACAGGGTGATATAACATAGCATATGTTTTAAAATGATAAAGACTTCCAAGAATAAGGCACAGTTTCCAGAATAATATTCATAACACGCCCAAACAAAAAGCAAAATCCTGTAATAATTGAATAATTGCAGCTTTCTGTATCCAAGAAAAAGTTAAAGGGGGGCAGGGGGGGAAATCCAGCCCAAACCAGCCCTTTTCAGTGGCTTAGCTGGTCAACACTCCTATACACAAAGCCCAGTGCTCTTCCCTAAAACCGAAGAATTAATCAGCATTATGTAAGAGATTTTTATAACACTCTAAAAATACATTGTGAATTCCTTCCCAGTGTCGGACTGAGAAGCTTTAAAGTACCGCCACTCCTCATCCCCTTTAGTAACAAAGGCTGGATCCTTGTTCCTGATGCTGGAAACTCGAATTTCGCCTCAAATCTCATTAATTTCAGCGCCGGCCTCATGAGATCCAACTGCTCCTGCTGGGAGCAGAGTTGGTGCTCAGAATTCCTGGAGCAGGGGCATGGGGCACCCAGCAAAAATAATGTGCCCCAAGGGAGAATTCCAGGCGCACGGAACCCGGGTGGGTTTCCGTGGTTATTTCCCTGCCCGCCAAGCTGAGTTTTGTGGTTCTGTCCCCACTCTGGTGTTGGGGATTTGTGGTGCTGATGGTTCCTCCTCCTCCTGCGGGTTCAGGGTCCCAGCTCTGCTTCCCAAAACCTGCTCCCAAAACGCGGGTTAGCGCCGTTCCTGCGCTCCCCGCTGACGGATCTCCGGGCGAAATTACAAAGCCATCACGTGAATGCTAATGGTAGCTTGGGAGGCAGACCTGTGAAGAGAATTTTGAGCATTTGAAACGTTTGGCCTTCGCGGTTTTCGCTCGTCCTGCTCGTGTCGCAGGGCCCTTGCCGAAGTTCACAATTTGATCTGCACAATTTGATCTTTGTTTTGCCATCAGGCCAAAATAAACCACAGGGACGCAAATAAACCACAGGGAAAACAGGAACAAAGCATTCTGCGGAAGTCCCATCCTGGGGTGCGTCTCCAAAGGGCACGACAGCTGGCTTGCCATCACATTTTTAGGAAACACCTCAACATTGTCCTTTTCCAGAAGGAAAAATTCTCCCCTCACAGGGCTGACACAACACGGACGCAAAATATCCCCCACCTTTAAACCACAAACAAATCAAGCAAAGTCATGGAGGCAAACAAAGCCTCGGAGGATTGTGTGGCCCGGGAAGGGTTTCGCCATCCATCGTTATCAGTTTGGTGTGAAAGCCCCGCGGATCCCACGGCAGAGGGGAGCCTTGGAGGGGAGTTACTCATCCCTCGCGATGGGCCATCCCGCCCTTCCCACGGGCCAGCAAACACCGGGATCAGAGCTCTGCTCTGGATGGTCTGAACCCAAGCTCCAGCCACCCCTGTGGCCTGACCAAGGACGTCCATGCTCACTCCTTGCCTTTCCTCAGCAGCGTTCTTTCAAATCAGCCCGAGTCCTCCTTTGTTCCCTGCCCCGCTTCCCTCTCTCTTTGGCTCTCTCTGTGCCCTGTCCTGCCACCCCGAGTGCCACCTCAGCTCTGGGCACAACACTTGTGACAATTCCTCTGTCCCAATGCGGGCAAAACACCTCCCTTAGGTTCGCCCTGCAGCAACTTCTCAGGCTCTCTCTCTGCTCTTTCTCCCCCAAATTCACCGTGCATTGTGCTTTTACTTTGCTTTTTCTTCTTCGCATCCTTCGTTTCCTCTGCCGGCTTCTCCTTCCCTTCCAGTCGCTCCTTCCTCCCTCTTTTTCTCCTTTCCCACTTTCTCCTCACACCATAACCTGCTTCCTCTGGTTTCCTGGGTGTAACTCGGGAGCAGGAGCCTCCTCGGTCCCAACCAAGGGTGAATGATGTCAGCCTAATTTACTTCTTTTCCCTACACCCACTCCAACCCACGCTCTCACGCCGTTCATAAAAACATTTTTTAAAAACCATGTAAAGGGGTGAAAGCCCAAGGCAACCAACTTTGGCACAAAATGGCTTTTGTTGCCGCGTGTTTCAATCCGATGAATTGTTGGGGTGGGTTCCTAGAGCACACACATCCCACGCCGGGCACCTCGGGTTCTCCATCCCCTCGCGCTCCTCTCCTGTTGTCTCTGCTGCTCCCTCGCTAATTTGTTCCAGCCGCTCATTAATACTCTCCTAATCCCCCCCTCCCCAGCTTCACCTCGCCAACCATTCCCTCTTCGCTCCGGCAGCTCAGGATCCAGAGGATGTTTCTTTCCCCCCTTTACAGCTCCAACAATGATAAACAGATGCTGGTGGTCTACACTCTGGCACAACTTCCTTGCTTTCGAATTTTGGTCGGGTTTTTGTTTTTTGGGGTTTTTTTTTTTGTTTTTTTTTTCCGTGGTCCTGGTTGTTCCTGACACGGCGGGGAGAAAGATGTTGGGTGCATTTGACACACAAACATACACATAAAAAAAAAAAAAAAAGATTGGCATTGCTCACTTAAAACATCGAAATACTAAAATAGTAAAAGCCCCCTTCCCACAGGTCACACACGGGAGTGGGTTTGCAAGGTTAGCCCCAGTTTAAACACAAGCAGGCCACCAATATCTGCAAAATTTGGGACTGTGGTTGAGCAGGAAGAGCGGAAAAATTCCAGAGCTTCGGGTACTTAAGAAAAAGAGAAATCAAGTAACAAATGGCCCCAGTGGCTGCTCTCTCTCTCTCTCTCTGCCGTCTCTGCGGAGCACGCAATTATTGCCATGTAACTTTAAAAAAAAAAAAAAATCAAAGCATTTCCTTGAATTTTCTTCAGACCGTGGGTGGTTTTTATTTTTTTTTCTCTTCTTAATTTTTATTTTTTTGATTATTTTTTAAGCTACTCTAAGACACGCTGCTTCGCTTCAGAAAATGTTTCCTCCCCACCTCCAGCCCAGTCCCGGCTCTCGCAGGGGTGTCCCTTCCCCTGGGGGTGAGGGGTGCGGAGAGACCCTCGAGGATGCTTTTGGGGGTGTTTTTGGGGCGGGGGGCTCGCTGCGGGTGCCGGGGGGGGGTCGGGCTGGGGACACGGAGCGGCCGCTCGGGCGCTGCCCGTTCCGTGGCAGCCGGTAATCCGCTCCGCAGTTTGCGTGTCTCCGGCGCGCTCCCCGCTCGGCGGCGCGGCGGCGGGGGGCGCGGCGGGCGCCGGGAACAGCCGCTTGTTTAAAATCCTTCTCGAACCGTTTCTAATTCCCCCTCGCGCGGGGGGGGGGCGGGGCCGCGCCCGGCCGGATGCGCGCCCCGTCCATCACCGCGCGGGGGGCGGGCCCGGCCAATGGCGGGCGCGTGTGGCGCCCGTCACCGTGGCGACGGGGCCGGTCCCGGGGAGGCGGTGATGGGTTGACAGGTGCGTGACAGTCGGGAGCTTCTCCGCAGGCATGTACGGCAAAGGCAAGAGCAACAGCAGCGTCCCGTCCGACAGCCAGGCCCGCGAGAAGTGAGTGCTCGCTCCCCGCACCCCGGCCCGGCCCGCCCCACACGCCCGCCGGCCCCGCGCGCGCGGCCCCCTCACAAAGTTTGTGAGGGCGAAGGGGGCAGCGGAAGGGGGGTGGGGGGGGGAACGGCCGCGCTCCGCGGGTCCCCGCGCCGGGACGCGGTGTCCGAGCTCGGACGGGGTCGCGGCGGTGTGTCCCCCCTCAGAGCCAGCCGTGCCCGCCCCGCAGCCCGGCCCCGCAAGGTGCCGGGACCCCTCCGGTAACAAAGAGCGCGGGCAGGGGGCCGGGGCCGCGTCCCAAGTGGGCGCCTCGCAACTTTTGCCGCGGCCCCCCATTGTTCGCTCTCGGGGGGCTCCCCGCCCGCCCCGCCGCACAAAGGGGAGCGGGCACCGCGCCCCCCGGCTCCCGCTGCCTGCCCGAACTCATGCTGGGGTTTTATGTTTTTTTTTTTTTTATTATTCCTAATTGCGCATAACGCGCCCGGGCGAGCCGCGCTCCGGCGCTCTCCTGCCCGCTGCCCGACGGGGAGGGCTGGCGGTGCCCCCGGCACGGGCAGCGCCGGGAGAAGCGGGAGGAAAACGCAGTTTTTGGGGGAATGGACGGCGTCTCCTCAAGTTGTCCTGTGGCGGCCGCGACTTGGCGTGACCGAGGCCGGTTTGGCACGGTGCGGGTGGAGGGGGAGGAAAAGCCCGTGCGAGGAGGAGGAGGAGGAGGAAGAGGAGGAGGGGGACGAAGTGTACCGGAGGTGGGCAGGTCGGGGTGAGGCTGCTCAGGGGGTCCGGAGGCGGAGAGCGCCTGCCCGAGACCGGGTTTGCACCTCTCTCTCCGTTCCGAAAATCGCATCGCTCCCGAGCGGGTTCAGCACCCGGGATCTGCGCTCCGGGCACGGCCGAGGAGTTTCCCTCCAGGCAGCTTGTCTTGAACCTTCACCTAAAAGTTTCTCTTTTTTGTTTGTTTGTTTGTTTGTTTGTTGGGTGTTTTTCTTTTTATTTTATTTTTTTTTTCCCTCCCCGTATGTGTGAGTTTAGGAATTTTGGTTTTGATGGTTTTGTTTCTTTGCTTTTCTTTTTCTTTGTTATTTTTTTGGTTAATGTTGGGTTAGTTCTTTTTGTGCGTTTTTTATTTTTGGTTTTGTTTGGTTGTGTTATTTTGGTTGGGTTTTTTTTTTGGTTTTTTTTGTTTGTTTGTTTTTTGGGTTTTTTTTTTCTGTTTTTTTTTTCAAGACTGCCTAATTCCAGAGGCTGGCATGCACGCTTCCTGCAACAGCAGCAGGCCAGGCATCTCTGTTTCGACAGGAGAAGGGGAATTTAAGGCGTTTGACAATTTCTCACCTAACTTTGCCACGGGAAAGCGGAGGGAGACAGAGGCAGCCCTGCCGGGAAGCGTTAATTGCTGAGATGGAGCGGGAGGCACAACTTGGGCTCTGAAATCTGATCAACTAGTGGCACTTCTTAGTTCCAGCGCAGGGATAATTTTAAAAATAATTGCTTGGCCGGCTCGTGGAAGCACTGTTTATTTTGTCTTAGCAAAATTAGGGAATTAAACCATTTCCTCTTGCTGCATGGCTGCTGGTGTTTGTCAATACACTCGGTAAATCACTGAAGGGCACAGTGGGAACTCACAGTGGGACTGAAAACAGATCCATAGGGCTGCTGTGCATCGGATCAGATGAAGATCATGTTGTTTTAATTCTGCTTTGCCAAAGCTACCCAGTGCAAGCCACACGCACAAGCGCTCCGGTCGTGGGGCTGAAACTTTAAACAGTTCTCAGTCGTACTCTTTTCCTTGTAGCTCATTTTTCTTCGGGGTTCTTGGTGCTGTAAAGCACATAATATTTTTTTGTTTGCTCTGAAAACGCTTAATAATTTTCAGGGCAAGCCTGCCAAACTGACTTATTGTCAAGTAAGGCAACTGCCCTCCTAAGTAAAGTTGTGAGGACCTGCTAGATGGTGCTGTTCGATTTAAATACGCGTTGTCTCCCACTTCGAGCTAACAGCTGGAAATGTGGGCTCCTCACGTGTAGATTATTTTGTGCAAAACACTGAAATGGTTTGATTTTAGATCGTGGACCTGACAGGTCAGAAACTTCATGGTTGCATCTCCTTGCAAATTAACTCAGCTTGGAGTTAGAAACATCGTCTTTCTCCTTCCTCCAGTGGGGGAAAAATATATATATATATATATATATATATATAAAAGCTTTGAGACTTGTTTTATGATGTGGAATATCATTATGTGTAGTCTACATTCCAGATTTTTTTGGTATTTCATCTGTTAAAATTTCTTCTTTCAGATGAGATCACATCCTTGCCATTTTCATATGCTTTCTTTCTGACTTCCAAAAAACTGTGATTGCAAATTTTCCCCTCTTACATTGCTTTACAGCCATGAAATGCTTGTCCCAAGGTAATGCATGAGTTTTTGTTCTGCTCAAAAATAAGTGGCTGTCCAATTAAATATCTCTACAAAAATACAGCTCTGACTTCTGCATGAGATTGTGTTAATTTGGAAACCACAGAGGAAAATACATATGTTTGACTGATACAATAAGTACTTACTTAATCAAGAAAAGTGGAATTATAATTATGTTTAATATCAAAGTTTTTAGAACAGAAAATTCAGCTGAACACTGGCGTGTCTCCTCAAGATTTTAAGTGCCTAAAATATGTAGCCAGTAACCAATCTCCAAAATACACTTGTAATAATTGAGGAAATAAAATTTTTAAAAATCACACTCCCACAGTTTTTAATGGGCTGATTATGTGGACCGTGTGTGTTCCCCGCGAGGATGCGTGCCAGTGAGAGGACCAGGGTGTGAAAAGCTTATTTACCAAGTGTGGAAAAGAGGTGTGTTGTTCAGCTGCTGTTTGTGGCGTTTGTTGTGATGTGTTTCACAGAACAGCCCTGTGCCAAGTGTGCCCTGTAGCACGGTGTCTTGCTGCGTGCTGCACCCGGTGTTTGTGTCCTTTGAGGTTATGTAATTACTATGAAAACGAACAAAGTTTTGCCAGCCATTTGTAATGGCCCTTGGCAAATGTTCAGTTCCAAGATGGCATTTGTTTTATGGTCCCTCTCTTTGTCCCTTCTGCCTGACCTCTGGGGTAAACCGCCTGCATTATTCGGCTTCACAGCGCATGGGAGGTGTGGGTGGGTAAATCTGGGGGCAGCAACGCCCGATTTTGTGCCACAGAGGTGCAGCACAGCCCAGCACAGCTGGGTGAAACGCTGAAGGTGAGGGCACACGATACCCGTGAGGCGAGGGGAAGGTGAGGAGACAAAAACCACGAGAGTCTTTGTGCCCCTTCCCCTCGCTCTGGAACAGCTCTGCCTTGATTTCGGGCTGTGTCCATCCCGGGTGCTCAAGGATGGAAAAATTGTGTTAAACAACAGCTCTTCACCACACCGCTGTGCCGGCACCACCTCAGACCCCACTGCGCCGTCAGAGGGAAAAAGACAAAAAAAGTATCCGCACATCCTCTATTGTTACCTCTTCACAGCAACTGTGAACAGTCCTTTTCCTTTTTTCCTCCCCTTGTTCCTTGAAATAGGACTGTTTCAGATTAGGAGCTCGGACCTGACAACACTTCACTGAATGGTGAAACTCTCTAAACTTTTAATCTTTGAGGAAAAAAAGGGATCAGACCACGCAAGTTCCATTTGCAAATGTATCTCTCTGTTTATGGATATGTAGAAATGCAGTTCTAACAAACATATAAGGAAAAGTAAATTCTGGTGGGAATATATGTTTTGAGTTCAGTTTTCTTCATGTTCCAGTGATCTTCCAAACTAGTCCTCTTCCCAAGAAGCCCCAAACCTTCTTGGGGCTTGGCAGACACCCAGATTTTGGTTAAAAACTAACTGCATGACTAGAGACCGTGACTTAATTTCTTATGAAATGATGCCTTATCAAAATACTGCTTCTCTTCAGGTCTGTTTTGAGAGGCTGGCTGTTGGTATGTACAGTTCCTTTGTATGAGAGGAGTTCTTTGGGTGTCTTCTTTCATGTGTTTTATGGGCTTTTTCCCCCCTCAGATTTGAAAAGACTGCATTGCCCAAGTTTACATAGTTAAGTCAGCTTTTCAACTTGCAGTGTTTGTAAGCTACGCAAAAATAAGATTCAGATAAAAATTAACTGGCGGCTTCAGTGTTGAATTTGCTACTCATCCCTGGGAAGTGGCCAGCTAGTTTCTTAAGATTTTGGTGGTAAAAGATGCATTAATTCTCTGCCCCCCACTTCTGAAGACAAATCTGGTAGTTTAATCCTGCCTGTTTTGTCAAGTTTAGGTTTGACATGTATCCATCATGTCTGACTTGTAAAAGTTGCAGTTGTGCTGCTCAGGGAGTCTGTGAACATCAGGCATTTTACAAGAATATACATTTTAATAAAGTGTGCAGAAGAGAGGGCTCTGGAAATAGTAGTTGTTTATCATTATTTATTATTGGCCATGTGCTTCAGGTGCTCATTTACCCTGCACAGGTGTCTTGGGAGCACATGAAAATGTTTCAGGTAATGTGTGTGCTGCCGTTCAAATTAAACAGAAGAAATTAATTCTGCTTAAATTACATATGATACTGTCACAAGTGTTAAAGCAGCCAAGATTTCAGTAACTTTGCCAAACTTCCACCGTTGGGCTGGAAAAGTTACAGTGCAATATTTAAGCCTTGTGCCGGTTCATGTAACTTTTTTTTGTGTGTAAAAGTTCAGTTCAGATGTGGCCCATTTTGAAAATTGGGCAAAGACGATAGGTGTTTTCCAATGTTTTGAAAGTTTTCTCAACTTTTATGGTGGAAGACCAATCATACCCGCTCTCCTTCATAACACTTGAAATCTGGTTGAAAAAGAAAAGGATGAGGGATTTGATTCCAGAGATGTGTCTTTCTCCCATTTGCATGACAAAGCATCTGAATTTAGCCAGGATACAAGCCTTTTCAAAAAGATCCATTTGCATATGCTTAGGGCTTACTGACTGTAATCGCTGAATATTTCATCTTCGCTGGGAGG